AAGTTGGAGGACAGTCCTGCCACATTGGTGGTGACGTAGTTGAGGTACCCCGGCGTGGCCTGGTTGTAGTAAGCCACCTGTGAGGCACAGAAGATGGTTGGTAGGGGCACGTGGGGATGGAGGAACCTCCCCGATGGGGTGGCACGGCCGCAGCATCCCACCTTGCTCATCTCCTCTGACTCCGGCCAAATGCAGAAGCCGGAGTGGCAGGATGGGTGGGCAGCGTCACCGACCGAAAGGCCACCACGTAGGGGTCCCTGGGGAGGAGAGAGCCTGGTGAGCCGGCGCAGCCCGGCCAGCAAGGAGACAGGGGTCAGGGATGGGGACGGTTACCCCTTGCTGCAGGGTTTCCGTCGGGACGCCAGGATGACAAAGTCCTGCGGCTTGTTCTCATGGCTGAGTGTCTGGCTCACCACGTGGTAGATCATGTCATCATTGTCTACTTGCTGAACGATCTCAGCGCTCCTGTGATGTGGGAGGGGACCAGTCAGAGAAACTTAGGCATTTACAGCCCACCACCGTACCCAAAATATTTTGGGGGACCCAAAATAGATATTTTCTGCAGCAAAGTGCAGCCAACAGCCCAGGACAGGGACACACGCAGTGAAAGGTCTCTAGGAGCCATCACGGCTCCAGGGCAACACGCTTGCTCCCAGGAAAGCCCAAAGGGACGTTCATGAAAAAGCCTTAAATTTAAAGCTGTGATTTTTGGAAAGGGCCGGGCACCCCTGGGAAGCCCCGCAGCACTCACGCATAGTGCCTGTCCCACTCGTGCCGGCGCCGCAGGTTGGAGAGCAGGGAGAAGGCTTGGCCGGCGGCGATGTGGACCGACATCTCAATACGGAAGGAGAGGAACTTGTCCTAAAACATCCGCACCTCGGGGAGCACAGGGCACACGTGTAGCCACTGCCAAGCCCCCAGGATGTCCCCGCTTTGGGGGGCGAGAAGCAGCTCGGGGGGGTCCCCAGGGCAGGGTTTGGTACCTTTTCCTTTTCTCTGGCGAGCGCCCAGTTCGCTTTGGCTACGAGCATCTTCAGCGCCGAGACATTGTTGTAGCTCAGATAAACCTGGGAAAGGGGCAGCACATCAAGGGTGGGAAGTGGAGGGGGGGTGCAGGAGGCAGTGATTTTGGGGAGGGGGCATCACCCTACCTTGTTGCTTTGGTCCCAGGGCACGGAGAGCGGCACCTCCGTCTGTTTGCAGGAGACGACGTATTTTCTGCAGGAAAGGAACAGTTTTGTTACAGCGGGACACAAACCACCCGCAGCCCACCCCTGTACCCTAGCACCGAGCATCCCCCTCCCCTCCTCCTTCCACCCCTGCATGCCACTCGCTTTTTCCACTCACCGGTCCAGCCGAATTTTTTTCCTGGCACTGGCTTCTCTGTACCTCCTCTCGCCATCCTGATGAACAGGAAAAGCACGTTAAGTTAAGAGGAAAAAGAGGGGAAAAAAAAACACAAAAAACCCAGATATCTTTTGGGGAATGGGCAAAACATTCAGCAGCAAAAAGCCCCTGTGCTCCCTGGCTACGCTGGCAGTGATGGTTAGTGATTAACCACGAGCTATTTCGGCATTGCTACCACTCGCAGAGATCAAGCGACAGGCACTGGCACATTAGGAAAAAAACCCTCACTGCGGCTGCGGAGCTGCA